TACTGATTTAGCGGTGGCGGAAAGAATGAATACTAAAACAACAAGAGGATACTGATGAGGGTAAATATGATATCGGCAGTGGCGGATTCAGGATTTTAAAGTTATAGGTGTTCGCCGATAAAAACTTCAAAAGAAGAGGAAAAATGAATTTATTTGTGGGTGCTCGCTCAATATTTATCTAAATATTTGTACAGTTACCTATATAAATTTATTAATATGGTCAAAGTTAATGGGTGCTTAAGCACCCACAACCCCCTATGTGCATCCGCCACTGATCATCGGTAGCAGGTTTGGTGGATAAAGAGGAGTCTTCCTCAAGTTCTGCTCATTTCGACTACAGTTAGACGACCTCTTTCTCACCCTTTATTACGAAATGTGTGTGATCAGAAGCACACCTTTTGTAGCCAAACTAACAACATTTTTATATAACAACATTTCACTATGAAAATCAAACTTTTTCCGAAATTAATTTTTATGTTATATTATAATATATGTTCTCTATGAGAACTTTTTGCTATAACATCTAAAAATATTCGGAACAAACGAAACTGTTATGGAGAAGTTTGAATGTATTTATCTAATTTTCTATTTTTGTAAGAGATTAAGATTCTATTAAACTTTTTAAGTTCAGTTAGTTACCGTTAGCTTAGGGACCAAACCTGTACAAATTCACATGCGTTCAATCATATAACACGGGGATTAAAAGCATAATGAAGCAATAATTTAAGCACAAAATTGTTATTTTCTTAAATCGCAATTGTATTTGTTTTACCAGACCTTTCCTTTCCTGCCATTTTCTTTTGTTGTCCCCTTTTTGTTATTCAAACATTCCTCTTTTTTCTTTTCCAATCAATACACACTAGCGACTTCATTTTATTATGATAAAAAGGACGGGTTTGATTTGGTTGGGAGATATATCTAAAAATGAAAAATATTGGTGCATACGGTTACCGTAGATGTATATAATGTCTTTTTTAAAATAAAAAAAACTTTTATGACCAAAAATAATATAATGTCTTTTTTACATAATTTTTCTATTTAAACATAAATTAATTCATGTGTATATTTTAATCAATTAATTACCACTTAATCATGATGGGTACTCAGTTTTATATGTTATGATATATTTTTATGGTTTAAATCAATCAACCGTTATGTTTTATATGGTTAATGCAAATTTATCTTTTAACCTTTGTTATAAGTTGGTGCAAATAATGAATTTTTATTTCTGGTAGGTGCAAAAAGCACAATTATTGTGCACACGTCATTAAGTTTATGTGAATTATTTCATTTGGATTACATAAATGTGATCTCAAATGGTCAAAAGTCAAAACTCGTCAATTATATATGGGGTATTATCACTTTTAGTCCTTGTCGGAAACTAGTATTTTTCGGATATTATTTTGATAACAACTATACAGTATCACTTTCTCATTAATTAATGTTCCTTAAAATTACTGTTATCACAACTTTCACTTATCTCATTTTCAAGACACAGTTGATTGATTTTCATTAAAATCTTTTTTATCATAGACTAAAGAAATGGTTAATGATTCAAACGTGCAAGGCAAATGATCCATTTCAACACGACAATTCTCACAATGATAAATAAAGATTCCTGCCATAACATGTAGGAGTAGTAAATCTTTTAATGTTACTCTACTTTTAACTTGTGTATAACAAAAATCAGTAAAATTCTCCTATTTTTCTATTTCATTAACTTGCGAGCTCGCTAACTGAAACATCATCATGTGCTTTATTGATCACTTTTGTAATAAGGCGTTTAAGGAAAATCGAATTATAAAAGAATTAAGAGAATGACCTGGTGGAAATAAAATGGAAGTAAAAAAAAAAAATCCATTGCTATACCAGTTAGAACTTACTAGCTGAATTTAACTTCAATTTTTTACAGAAAAATTAAAATACTATCATAGCTTGTTCAATTTGCACAAGCTTTCGTCCAGGTAATGGAAATGCACAAATTATTCTCTTTCTCTTCCAAATGACAGAAGAATTAAGAGAAGTTTAAATATAAGATTAATTCACTTTCTTAAAAATTTAATATAGATATTTTTCTATGTTTAAATTTTCTACTACTATATAAGGAACAAAAATACTCCTAAATCTTCGCTAGCGTTTGGCCATAGATCCCAAATTTATTTTGAAAAATCTGATTTGGGTGAAGTTTGGTTTGAAGATGAAAATGTGTACGATTTCAAAACATATTTTTCAACTTTATTTTGGGAAAACATGTATATAATTCCCAAGTTTTGGAAATTTGGCGCAAATTCAGCTTATTAGCTGAAATTGAGATTTCAAATATGTGATTTGAGTTTTGGCCAAAATGTGGGTCAAATTTATGGCCAAACATGAGATTTAAAAATAAATTTCAAATTAAATTTGGGAAAATGTATGGCCAAACAGGGCTTCATTTCAATGTTAAATTTAGGGGGGCAAATTTCAGTTAATAGATTGAGTACAGTACTTTTAACTAATAAGGAAAAAAAAGATGTAGTCAGTACTTTTGACTAATAAGGAAAATAAATTAAAACCGAGTGTTGTGTTGACCAAAATCAAGTTAAAGGAGTGGAAGATATGATGACACTTCTTTTTGACACAGTGGGAAGTGCAGGGTACAATTATAACAGTTTGACACTCTGCACCTGCCAATACGTGGGGGCTTTTGTGTCATTTCCTCCTATATCTTTCTCCGTCCCCCGAATCCTAATCTCACTCCCCATCACCAGCTACACTATCATCCCGCACATTTACACACACACACACACTGAATTGAACCAACGCTCCAAAAAGTTGTAAATCATTCGCAACAGTTACCTGGTATCTTCTAAAGGCATGTCCTAAATCTCTCTTTCTCTCTTTTTTTATTTTGTTGCTTCATTTCTTTATTCTGGTTGTTTGTTGGAGATTTTTTCAAGTTGGATCTTGATTCCAAAAGTTGTTAAGCGTGTTAAAGTAATTCTGTGTACAACTTGTGGAATTTTTGTTCTGAATTTGAGCTTGTCTGAATTATTTTATTTGTTTTCTGCATTTCAATTAGTGTGGTATGATCAAATGCGGATCTTTTATTCTTAAAAGTTTTATATCTTCTTACGTGTTTTTTTTTTAATTTTTTTGTTAACGTAACGATGTAATTCTTAAAGATTATATCTTCTTGTTCACATAAAGATTCAAAACCAGGCTGTCAATTCAACTTTTGAGGCAAACATAAGTACATTTGATTTTCACGGCTAAGTTTTTTTCTAAGGTTAGTTTTTTTTAAGAATGAAATTTTGTACACAGATTTAGTTTTGTGTACAGTTCTTATAGGAAAGATACATATATTTTTGGGCTATCTTTTGTTTTTTGATATCTCAAATAAAGCAGAATGGGTTTCCAGTTCATTGGATAGAACTCTGCTTGAAATGGTTTTATGGAATGCAAGTGAAAGAGATACCTTGTGGAATTAGTCGAGGTACACACAAACTGGCCCGAACACCATGCTTATGAAAAAGAATGCTAGTGAAAGAAAAAGAGATTTTTATGTGCAGAGTGTTAGGTTCATTTCCATGTTTGCTTTGAATTTACTAATCTGCCTCTAGGTTTCTAGTTCTTTGTTTACATCTATAGAGCCAAGGGTATTTCGGTAATACTGTGTCTAGCAGCTCTTCAGAGTTTGCTTAATAGGTCTTTAGGGATGTCATTTACCAGATGTTTGGATCTTCAAAATTTTTGGGAAAAAGAAGGTTAAGAGCAAAGCGTAACTAAATCTCAAATTTCCTCACTTTATCTGGAAGGCAATTGAAAAATCTGCAGAAATTGGGTTGTATGGATATGCTGTATAAGGTAGGGGAAATGGCTCAGCTTGATATGGTGAATAAGCATACTTGGTGATCTGAATGAATACCACATTCTATTATAGGTATCAATTTTGCATGAGCATGCCACTGATCTGAATGTTGTTTTTCTTGAACCTATCTCTTCCAACATGATGAAAGAAAGAAGCCAGTGTTAGGTTAGATAGAAAGCTTTGGCCGCTTTACCAGGAGCTGCTGGTTCGTATTTCTGATTACAACTGCCACTTCCATTTTAATTACCACCATCAAACCCTCTCCATCACATATCTCTTGCCTTATTTGACTAAACAACTCCATATCTTGGAGGTCACTGATCTGTCCTTTTATGAGAAACTGTTGGGATCACTGACCAAGTTGAGTAAGAGATCGCTTTAGTAAGAGATCGCTTTAGTCGATTTGCTATAATGTAGTTGAAAACTTCACTCACACTCTTTTTCTTTTATGATTTTCCAGAGCATTCAAACACACACAAATGATGTTTGCTAGAAATTGCTTTTCCTCCTTAAATGCATGCTCTATGGTACGCTTCAATTTTTTTGTTCTCTTTGGAGTATTAGTGTCTCAGAAATCAAGAACTTGGTAGTCGAGATGTAAGATTTTATTTAAAAAAGTATTTGTTGAAGCTTTTCTTGTTTCATTGGTGCATTTTGCAACTCACTAACTGGATTTCCTAGACCTTTTCTTCCTCTTAATATCTGTCAACGGGCTGGCAGAGAACCTTCTGTTTACTTGTTTCCTTCTTGATTCTGCAATTTATTGCTGATCCTTTGGCTACTTCAAAGCCTTTGTAGTCCTTGGGGATTTGTTCCATACTTCAGCTAGATACCAGCACAAAATGAGTCCCACCTTTGCTGCATCTTTGCTGCCTATTGTAGTCCTGAGATCTCCTCTCTTGTCCTACATCAAACGCCTAGAACCAAAGACCCTTATTGGTGCATAAGCTTGTGATTGAAGCCATTTGAGAAAGGCATTCTTACTGTTCACATCTTTGTAGGCCGTGGAACAGCTTTCTATCTTCTTCTTTATGCTTGGAGTTATCCTTTCCCTTCAATCACAAGTACTGTTGTATTTGGACATACAAGTGTGATAAATTACTATCATTGATCAAAGGCTCAATACAAGCTTGTGGCTGACATCAATGTAAGCTTTAAAAGGCCAGGGAGTGTAGAGATTTTGGCTATGACTTGTCTGCTGGTATTTTCTTAAGTAATATCACTGTTCGTTAATTGATTGTTTATATTCAATTGATACTGTGTTATTCATTTGAGCAACTTGAACTATGGTGAGAACTCTAGTTTGTTATGACAAGTCACGAACTACAGAGAAATCCCGTTTCATTCAAGCTCCTTTCTTCTCCATTCTTTAAGCTCCTTCTGGGATGGATATTCGTCATCCTGATATATTTATACTTTATACTTCCAATTTTCCAATCTATATGACCTTTTTCTATTGTAGGACATTTCAAGATGTTTGAAACCATTCTATTAAGATAAAATTATCACAAGTTTTAAGAATTTAAATGTGTTAAATTATTCTCTCTTTAACATAAAAATACTAGTGTTTTTTCTAGCCCTATATTTGTTTTGTTGGAATAGGATTGAAGATCTATCATGTTTAGTTGCTAGTTTAACTTTCAATTTAGAATTTATTCGTAAATGGACACGGTGCCTCCTAGCAAACAATCATTAGTTCTTTTATCGAGGACTTGTTATCAATATTTCCTTTGTTGCAATTTATTTGACACTCTTTGTTTCGGGATGTCACAAAATATTTGATACCATTTCTTTACCTGCTATTTGTTATTGTAAGGATCCATCATAAATTAACTAGTTTTACATTGATCATTAGCTCCTTATTTATTAAGGTTTGATATCAGCAAATTAGTTCATATGTCTAGGCTCAATTTCCAGGAGAATAGAGACGTAACACATAGAATTAAAATTGTATAGTTGTGATGAAGAAGTGTCACATGAGTGTAATGCAGTAAGGAGATACCTACCAGAGTGAAAGGCTAAGTTATAACTTATAGGATAGTTGTGAGACCAACAATGATATACTGGAGTGGGTGTTGAGTTTGAGGTTTAACATATTCATAGGATGTGTGTCAAAGAAATACAAATGTTATGATAGATGTGCCATGTGCAGTTATACAAAATTATATAAGATAAGAAATGATTATGTCTGACAAAAAGTACAAATAGAACTCATAGAGGATAGAAAGAAAAAAGGTCCCATATGATGGTTCGGTCATGTCTTACGTTAGATGTTCAAATGAAACGGTTTGTAAGTGTGATGCTAGGATGGTTGAAGGTGTTAAAAGGACGAGGTAAATCTAAAATTACATGGACGGAAGTTGTCTCAATGAACTTACAATCTCTTGAAATCCATGCGAAATTAGCGAATTACAAAATAATGGAAGCGAAAGACCATATAGGTAATTCTGACCAGTTAGGATTAAGTTTTAGTTATGTCGTGACACTTGCATTAAGTATGTTGTTTGCCAGGAGTCCTTTTTATTCAATAGTGATTTGTTTTTCAGCAGAAAATGTAGAAAATCTTTATTTATAGAGAATCCTTAGTTTGTCTTGAGTATTAAGAGCTTCAACGGGAGCATAATGGATAGTGGATATTCATATAGCTGACCCCAACTAGCTTAGGATTGAAGCATAGTTGTTGTTAATTAATATTGGAACTTGGAGCCCCGAGTAGAGTTGAATGGTTGCAGAAGAACCATATTGCTATCTCCAATTCTTTTAGATTTAAGGCATATTTGCTGTTTTTTTTGTTTCATTCCAGAATATTTGCTGTTGTTTTCTTACTAGTATTATCTAATATAACTTTGTCAAGTTTTGGTAATTGATTTAACTAATAATATTCAAACATTTATATGGTGTTTTTTTTCCTTTCAACTAACTTTTAACTATCACTTTTATATTATTTTTTTAGTTACCCCTTGTTAAATTTCTCTTCGGTCTTCTTAATATCTTGTTGTTATTGCTTGTTGCTACTACTTCTTTTCATCTTTTCTTCAGCCGAGAGTCTAACGGAAACAACCTCTCTGCCCTCCCAAGGTAAGGGTAATGTCTGCATACACCCTACCCTCCCCGGGCCCCATTTGTGGGAATCCACTAGGTTTATTGTTGTTTTTGTACCCCTTGTTAAATACACAAATCAAATAAACATTTTTATTTCTGTCCCCAATCACATAGAATAGCATGGATGGAGTAAATATGTTTTGTTATCCCCTTTTATTTGATTCCTGGAAACTAGTAAGCCCTAATTGTCCCAGTTCTATTCTTTCTTGTCTTGTTCTTCAAAACTTATAACAAGTATCCAGCTTTTCCATCCTAATGCTAATGGACATGGGATTTTCCTCTCTAGGGAATTTTAAGTGCAAGTTGATGTTACTGCATCTCCTTTTTCTTAAAAGAAATTGATGTTAGGTCTTTTATGTATCATTTTGCTTTCCATAATCATTATCTTTATCTGAAATGTGATGCTCCAATCAGCTATGCCAGCATGTAATTAGTACTATTTTGTTATCAATAACCAACTCAAGTTTCGGTTCAGATTTTCCTAGTTTCTTCAATTTTGGGAATCCCAGTACTCCCTTAAGACATTTCTGTATATTCATTTAACGCTCAACTTTTCTGCTTCATGGTCTGATTACTTTCACAAGACTACAAAATGAACAATCAGCAACATCAAACTGACATCAGGAATTCAGATATTCATCATGGTTGATAATGACGCTTGAGAAGTAATTATTTTTTTTTATTCCAGGTGTTTTCATGCCCTAAAACTTAGGACGTTGAAGCTTTTGTGATGGAAGAAGGAGATTCTGCTGTAAAGAGATGGGAGGACCTTGATAACGATATCTTGGTGAAGATATTGCAGTCCTTTGACCTCTTTGAGTTGACTTCTGGACTTGCTCAAGTTTGTAGTTCGTGGCGATTAGCTTGCTCTGATCAACTTCTCTGGAAAACGCTGGACTTGTCTGTACTAAAATCAAATTTCATCAAAATCCCGTTAGAGCCGTACGTATATGTGGACTGTCAGTCTGATAAAACATTAACCCGCCTCCTGAGGATTGCTTTGAACCTCAGTCGTGGAAACATACTAACGTTAATCTTCCATTACAATCTGTATGTCAGTGACAATCAGTTGACTTATACTGCCGAGAGGTATTCCCTGATAAACCTTCATCTTTCCTTATCTCTATAATTTTAATTAAAAGACCATACATCAATCATTCCAAAGTTCAGGCAGCATCATATATCTCAGATGTCCAATGATTTGCCATTATTTTAATTCAGGAGAAGCAAAGTTTACACTGAGGATGAAGAAGACAGTTAATCAAATATACTCTTTTTCAGGTGTCCGCGGCTTAAACGTCTAGTTATGCCTGCTTGGAACAGAATAAAAAAGACAGGAATATGCAGAGCTATTCGTATTTGGGAAGATCTTGAATCACTGACAATGCCTAGCATTGCAAATCCACCATACGTCATGGAGGAAATTGCAAGGAATTGCAAAAAATTTGCTGAGCTCAAGATTATGGGGCCATGTGATATTCTCTTTGCGTCTACACTGGTAGCATTTCTTCCAAACTTGAAAGTACTGAGTGTGCGGTGCACAATGCTATCTAAAGGCGCCTTAGTTATTATCTTGGAGGGCTTAAAAAAGTTGGAAGTGCTCAATATTTCTCATTGTCTAATCACTGAAGTCCCTCCATCTTCACCAAGAAAAGTTCTGACCAAGCTTGATGAATCAATTCTTGAAAAAGCCTCTAGATTACGCAAATTCCTAACTTGCATGAGTGACTCGTGCATCATGTGTCAGCGAACCCGAAACGATGAAGGGCTGATGAGGTGGTATAAATATGAAGAAGACCTCTGGAAAGTGGATGAGGTGAGATCTCTTGCAATTTGACAACTTTAAGGATATATTGCTTTTCATAAGTTAGATACCTTGTTAAAGGTCCAGTGAATGTTGTAAAATTGTGTATATGAAGCAAAATAAAACCTTGTCATTGTTAATGGAAGTGAATCAGCTTCCGGTTGCTAGCCGCAGGTATTATCCTTTGGTGGCCAAAGGGAGAGTAGCTTTGTAGTATAGGAGACATAAAACTGTATCATCATGCACATGGGAGAGTACTGTTACTTTCATGTTTTAATTTTGTAACATTAGTGTATTTTCTTCGGCAGGATTGTTTTCCTGTTCTATCACATTTCTTTGTTTTCCTATAATTTTCTCTTTGTGGTACGATGGATGCGTTTTGTTTCTGCGTTTTCAAACTAAGGAAAGAAGTCTATGATCCTTCTAGGTTATGGCTGATCTTTAAGGAAGCTCATTAAAGGTGCAACTTTTTTACGTACAAATTACAGATATACTTTGACAAACATTTTAAAATATTTTTTTATCATATTGACACTAGTGGCGGAGCCACATTATAGCAAGGGGTGAACTGACACCCCTTAGTGGAAAAAATACAGTAAAAAATTATATGCATATATACTATATGTTGATTCTCCTTAAATTTTTTGTATATTTACTTTTATATATTTTGACACTCCTTAACAAAATTCTGGCTCCGTCGGTGATTGACACGAGAACAACTCGTAAGTTGTAATACTTTTTGTATATTTTTTGAATATTTAAATTTTAGTTTTAAAATATTGAATTGATCTAACCTAATTTTGTTGGAGTTACGTGACACATTGACAAATTGGACTGCAGATTTAGCTAATTAGGTTGCCTAGTTGGGCTAGGCTCACTATCTGTATTTATTTGATTTGTTTTTTTTGTAATTACTTGTACATAAGAAGCCCAACATATAAAAGGGCCTAAAGGGAAGATTCTGGACAGTTTTAACAGATATTCAATACGCAGATCCTTTACTTGTTCTTCTTCTCCATTCTCTCTCTAAAAACCCTAATCATGGTTGGATCAAATCCTGCTAATCTCTGACTCTAACATGGTATCAGAGCCATGAAATCGTTGTTCCTTCATCCTCTAAGCTCGGAAGTGTTACCCATGGACGTTTTCAGAAAGAAAAGGAAGAAGATAAAGTTCACCAATTTCTAATGGGTCTAAATGAAGTCTATGTAGGAGTTAGAAGCAATATCCTTATGATGCACCCATTGCCTTCTCTTGATAATGTCTATAATATACTCCTACAAGATGAAAAACAAAGACAGGTCCTTCCAAATCCACAAGCTTATTCTGAATCAGCCTCCTTCCATGCAAATTCTAGCAAGTTTCCTCCTCAATTCTCACCTCAGCAACAATATCCACAGAAACTAAAATTTGATCAGTCTAATCGGAGAATCAATTCTTATCACAACAAGGCTTCACTGATTTGAAAGTACTGCAAGAAGCATGGTCATGCAATTGAAAAATGTTATAAATTGCATGGGTTTCTCCAGAATTTCAAGTTCACAAGAGGTAAAAAGTTTGGTACTGCAACTAATGTTGAAGGGCAGTCTTCTGGGTTTCCTGATCATACTCCTTCACATACTGAGGATTCATTGGTACCTGGTTTAACTAGAGAACAGTATACTCAATTGATGAGTTTTCTTCAGCAATTTGGTCTCAATGAGTCATCATCTCAACCTGCCATTATGGGTTCAGCAAATTTTACTAGTAGTTCTTCTTCCCTGCCTTTATGTTTGAATGGTAATTCTAATGTGCGCATGTTGACTAATGTAGCTGGAAGGATATGGATAGTGGATTCTGGAGCCACTGACCATATGACTTCAAATAAAACTCTTTTTTTCAACATTACTCCTCTACCTGTTCCTTACCTAGTCTCTTTACCTAATGGTTACAAAGTGAAGGTCACCTGTACTGGATCCCTCACTTTGTTACCTTCCCTCACTCTTCATCATGTTTTATACATACCAACCTTTCACCACAATTTGATTTCAGTAAGTAAACTCATTGATCAGTTCAAATGCTATGTTTTATTCACATTTCATTCATGTATACTTTTACAGGCCCATTCTATGAAGAAGCTTCTAGATCTTGGTAGAATGGACCATGGACTATACAAATTCTACTTCAACCAACCTACTTTTGCTGCTCAATCCATCTCTGGTAACTTTGATGACTCTTCACCTATTTCTCATAATGTCATGGACAACATTAGACAACCTATTCCCGTTTCTGTTGCTTCTGATTCACTTGTTTCTAGTTTTAATTCTATAGCAAAAGTAAATGATTTCCCATTGGATGCAAATGTAGATATTCTGGAATCTCTTAATAATCCTGTTTCATTACCAACTTGTAATAGTCATCACCATATAAATAAAAATGATGTTCTTTGGCATCACAGATTGGGTCATGTTCCCTTTGCACAAATGAAAAATATACCCTCTATTTCTTCTAGTTTGTCAGCAAAGCGGTCTTTTATTTGTCCTGTTTGTCCTTTGGCAAGACAACCTAAATCGTCCTTTCCAAATAGTTCTTCTCATTCTACTGCTGTTTCAACTAATACATGTGGATACCTGGGGACTTTACCACACTCAATCCTATTCTGGGGCAAGATATTTTTTGACTATATTTGATGATTATAGCAGGGCAACCTGGACACACTTGATGCACTCCAAAAGCTATGCTTTTACTTTGATTAAGGCATTTATAGCAATGGTCAAAATCCAATTTCAACTTCCCATAAAAGTCATTAGAAGTGACAATGCCTTAGAACTTGGGTCTTCTAATTCAGCCCTTCAATTCTTTTCTGAAACTGGAATAATTCATCAAACCACCTGTCCTCACACCCCACAACAGAATGGGGTGGTGGAGAGAAAGCACAAACATCTCCTTGAAACTTCAAGAGCCTTATTGTTTCAATCCCAGCTCCCCACCAAGTTTTGGGGTGATTGTGTCTTAACAGCAACCTACCTTATAAATAGGTTTCCCTCCTCAGTTTTGTCCAACAAGACACCATTTGAAGTTCTATATGGCAGCTCACCTTCATACTCTCACTTGAAACCTTTTGGTTGCTTATGCTATGCCACTGTGCCCAAATGCCATAGGGACAAATTTCAACCAAGAGCTTCCCCTTGTGTTTTCATTGGGTGTCCTTATGCTAAAAAGGGTTACAAGCTCTATAGTTTGCATACTAAGTCAGTCTTGTTCTCTAGAGATGTCATTTTTCATGAATCTGTGTTTCCTTATCAACTGGTGTCCTCTACCATATCTTCCTCTACTCCACCTCCTTCTATTCTTATGTTCTCTTCTGATATTCCATCTAACTTCTCCTTTTCTTCTCCTACTGCCTCATCTCCTCCTAATGTCATTATTCCAGTTGGTTCACCTCTACCTGCTCATTCTACAACTGATCCTGTTCAGCCAGTTTCCCTACCACCTGATCCTGCTCAACCAGCTCCTCTGACTCATCCTGCTCCTGAACTTAGAAAGAGTTCTAGATCCCACCAAATCCCATCTCACTTGAGAGATTTTGTTGTCCAACTTCCTTCCTCTCTTTCTTTTTCCACTCCTTCTTCATGTTCTGCTGCACAATATGCTCCAGTAGAACCTCATTCCTACATCCAGGCTGCTGCCAGCCCTGAATAGCAGGAAGCTATGGCCAAAGAGTTTGAAGCTCTAGAAGCAAATCAGACTTGGCAAATTGTGAAACTCCTTGTTGGAAAGAAGCCCATAGGTTGTAAGTGGGTTTATAAGATTAAATATAAAGCTGATGGTAGTGTGAAAAGATTCAAGGCTAGGTTGGTAGTTAGAGGGGACACTCATGTAGAGGGGATTGATTTTAATAAAACATTTCTCTCATGTTGTCAAGATGTGTACTGTGAGATGTTTGATTGTTGTTGCAGTTAAAAAGCATTGGCCTTTGTTTCAACTAGATGTAAATAATGCCTTTTTGCATGGTGACCTTGATGGGGAGGTCTACATGAAGCTTTCTCATGGGTTGTCTATTCCTTCCTCTTCTGCTTCTGCCCCTTTGGTATGCAAACTTCAAAAATCTCTTTATGGGCTTAGACAAGCATCTAGACAGTGGTATGCAAAATTGCCACAAACTCTTTGCTCTAGAGGTTTCACTCACTCTTTGAATGACTATTCACTCTTTGTTAAGAAGACTGAAACTTCTATTGTTCTCATTTCTGTTTATGTGGATGGCATCATACTTACTGGAGATGATCTATCTGAGATTTCTGCCCTTAAGTCATTCTTGGATGCTCAATTCAGAATTAAAGACTTGGGTCTTCTTAATTACTTTTTGGGTATTTAAGTCTTCTATCACACTTCAGGTGTTGTTTTGCATCAAAAGAAGTTTATTAATGACTTGCTTGCTGAATACAATTGTTCTGATGTTTCTGAAGTTGTTTGTCCTTTGGACACTTCACATAAGTTGCATTCTGATATTGGTGATCTGTTGCCTCAACCTGACAAATATAGGAGCTTGGTTAGGAAGCTGAATTACTTAACCCATACTAGACTAGACCTTTGTTTCACTGTCCATCATCTAAGCCAATTTCTACATCTCCTAGACTTCCTCACATGACAGCTGCTTTGCATGTTTTGAGGTACTTGAAGGGCACCCTTGATCATGGGGTATTTCTGAACAATTCTTCTGATTTCTCATTGTTAGCTAGTTGTGATAGTGATTGGGCTGCATGTACAGCCTCTAGGAGGTCGGTTACTGGTTTTTGCATCCATCTGGGGGGGGGGGGGGGCAGCCTCATAAGTTGGAAGTCTAAAAAGCAGCCTATTATTTCGTTATCCTCTGCTGAAGCTGAATACAAAGCCATGAGTAAGGTGGTTGCAGAGTTGACTTGGGTTGTCCGGTTGTTAGCTGATCTGGGTGTTCCTTCCACTACTCCAGTTCCTTTGTTGTGTGACAGCCAGGCTGCCATTCACATAGCCAAGAATCATGTGTTTCATGAGTGTACTAAACATATCGAAGTGGACTGTCACTTCATTCGAACTAAGTTAGCTGATGGGCTCATTTCCTTATCTCATGTTCCTACCTCTTCTCAAATAGCTGATATTTTTACTAAGTCTTTGACAGGTTTGCAGCATCGCACCTTATCCAGCAAGTTGGGCGTGTGTCCACCCTCCAACTTGAGGGGGGGTGTTGGAGTTACGTGACACATTGACAAATTGGACTGCAGATTTAGCTAATTAGGTTGCCTAGTTGGGCCAGGCCCACTATCTGTATTTATTTGATTTGTTTTTTTTTTTTTGGTAATTACTTGTACATAAGAA